ACTTGCTGGCAATACCGGAATGCAATAAGTAAGTGCTTGAATTTACTGATTATTAACTATTCTTACTATAAGCCTAGGTAGCGTGCAGTATGTGGAGGAAAGACAAAACGACCTAGTGCTTCCACAGACCAAGTGGGAAGTTCTAATGCTCACACATCTGATGTGTGAAATCATCTCTCTAGTTCTTCTAATCGAAGAAGTGAAGGTACTTAATGGACTTATCTTCTGTGTCGCCTGCCACCCACCCCTGTGGTACTGGTACATAAGTGTTAAAGAGACCCAGCAGGACCACGGCAGGACATTGGTTTGTTGTGGATAAACCCAGCAGTACAGCTGATATTCAGACGAATCCTCTGAGGGGCACCATCCAGCATGGGTTCTGTTGAACTCAGCATCTCCCTGGACTGTGCTGTGGTGACCCTAGTAAATGACAGTGGAGACAGCACAGGGTTTCAGTCACTTTCCTGGCTTTGTGTTGGGTGGCTCCTGCGATTTTAACAATTTGGTTTCCGATGCTATTTCAAACTGAGATGTTAAGATGATTAAAATACGGATTGTAAGTGACTAGGCAACAGAAGAGTGAATTTAAATAATATATTCAAATAGATTCCTAAATTTAGATAATTAAAATAATAAATAGAGCCTGCCTGGATTCTTAAGCATTTGAGCTTCAAGGTAATCTTACCTTTATGATTTTTGTCATTAAGACAAGTCAGCAATCAACTTAAAAGTAATTTTTAAAAACAAATGCTAATGTGCTACCTTGGTAGTCACTCGTATCTTCTCTTGATTATACCCTCTACCTATGACTGCTATCAAATACTGATTGCCTGCTTTGGAAAACTGTTCTTTTTCTCATGCTTGACAGATCAGGAATTGCATCATCCTACATGAGTTTGGTTTTGGCACTCGGGTTTTTCTCATCAGCAGTGAATGCTGCTTTTGAGAGTTTTTGAATTCTCCTTTCTCTACCCGCCCTTGATCTCCAAAATGCTGCGATAAAGAACAGAAACCCTAAACAATCACACTGGAAACTCCTATCAGATTTGTGCCCTGGTGGCCATCCTAGCAGTGGGTTGGAATGGGCTGTTTTCCTTCTTTACAGAAAATTGTGCTCAGAGTATGGTTGCCTAAATATGTGGTGACTCGGGAGAAAATAATTCTTCTAAGAATTTTGTTGGTGTTTATTTTTGCCAGAGTACTTCGTAAATTTCTCCTGTTCTCCTTCCTCCCCTATTTCTTTACTATTTCCCTCTTTTTTAGTGTTGGATTTTTGATAGGCAGGGGAAAGAGTGAGTGACAGTGAGATGCCTTCTGCTGTGTTCCTTGTGTTTACAGACCTCAGATGATTATTGCTAGGGGAATAAGTGAGTATGGTTATACTAGAGCCACTCAGTTTCTAAACACAGCATCTAGAGCCATATTGAACATGCAGCTATAATCACAGATATTGAAAAAATTTTCCCCGGATTTTCCCAGTCTTCAATTCTACAGACATAGGCAGAACACAGAGTAAAGTTTTCCTCCTTCAGAGCATTCCTAATTTTATGTTCACATTTTCTTTTGGGAGTTTATGGAGTTACAGGTGAGCCATGATTCTTATATTTAGCTTTTGAAATGCAGTTTTATTTTCGAATTTGGATGTCTTTAGGTATGCTGAAATTGTCAAGCATTTCGAATAAAAAGGGAAGCAGTAGCTTGTTTTATCTTGTCCCCCTGGTGAATGGTGCCTGGGCCTTGCTTCTTTGTTCCTAGGCCACTGTCTCCCAGGCTCTTGTCTTTGGTGGTGGTGGTGGGGGGGATAAATTGGAAGGTTAATTCACTTACAGCTTAAATAAAAGGCTTGTTTTGGAGTTAGGGGAAAAAAGAGCCAGGCCCCAGACTGACATTGGGAAGACACAGCCCATGGCATGGGAGACGGCTGCAGGGGAAGTGGCGGATGCTGGCTGCTTTGTGTGGCTCTCCACGCAGACTCTGGGCATCAAGTTCACCCCTGGTTGTCCGTCCACTCTGTCTGATCTTCTAAACAATTTTCTCTGAGGCTCTGTTGGATACAACACATTGCCTTTTGTCCTCGTTTATGTGTTCATTCCTACAGTGGTTGTGACCAGTTAGAAAGAGGGTGGACTTGGTTTTACATTTTGGGGGACTTGGAAACTTGTCCTCCCAGTGGTTTTCCTCTGGATGTCAGATGCCACGGGAGGCAGACTAACCACCAACCCGGGTTTGGATGAAAACGTGGCAAAAACTGAGCTTAAAGGAGGCCTTTGATGGAGTCTGTGAGGGCCTCTCCAGCCCCCGTGAAGTTAGGCTTCAACAAGCCTCCCCAGAGCAGTTCCGTATGTTATTCAGGGGTCCTGAGAGCGGCATTTTCCATGAATGGGCTTTGCCTAGAATTAAGTGGCTATTCTGAAATGGTGAATAATTTTGTTAGCTAAAGCCTCAGCCTCAGGACCTGCGTTGTGTCACTTACTTGGGAAGGCACTTTACAGCAGATCTGGGGCTCTTCAACGCCTCCCCGCCCCCATCCTTTTAAAATTTTGCTGCTTTCTCTGGGAAGAACTGCAAAGGAAGCCAGGTGCTCTGTGAAATACAGACCCTGCTAATTATTCAGAGCGCTTTTTCTTAATCAAGATATAATTCACGTACAATAAAATCCACCCTTTTAAAGTGTATACACCTCATTGATTTTTAGTATATTCACAAGGTTGTGTAAACCGTTAGCACTGATTTCAGAACATTTTCATCGCCCCAGAAAGAATTTGTCCTGTGCTCATTAGCAGTCGCTTCCCATCTTACCCGCACGCCCACGCCCCCGCCCCCGCCCCCCAGCCTCTGGCAAACACAAATCTGCTTTTCATCACCGAGTTCTGTTTTATATTATACTGAAGTCTGTTGTCCCTGATACTTAATGGTTAGATGAAGGGGGAGGCAGGGGAGCAAGCTCCACAGACAAACACTTAGGGCTTGTGCCTTATTTCTAGCTTCTTACTTCCAGGCCCCAGTGCGAAGGGGAGGGGTGTCCCCGGAACCTGGGGAGAGTCTGGCCCTCTCCCTGCTGGTGATCAAATACACCAGGTGTCTAAAATACTGAGCGTGTGGCAACACGTAAGAGGTTGAGTCTGACCTGATGATGACAATAATGTATGGCCAACACCCTTTCGAAAAATTAAGGGCAGAATCGCAGTATTGTAGTTCTCTCTACCTTTCTGTTCTGTAACTTTCAGAATTCTCAGGAATCAAACCATGTAGGACGTTGTCAGTCAAAACCAGAGAAACAAATAGCTTGGACAGATTGAGGGCTTGGATCTACGTTTCAAGTGTGCTTCCGTAAATACTTTGGGTTCCTGCCCGTTGCACTGGTATTGACACCTGGATGTATGTGAGTTTTAAAGAGGAGTGGGGAGTCATTTCAAGGCAGGGAGGGGAAGCGCCAGTCCTCAGGAGATTTTCTGGGCCGTGGTGGAGAGCACGGCACTTGGAAGGGCTTATAGAATATCAGGTGTGAGGGAGCCCACTGGAACCTAGGGACCTCTCCCTGGGTGCTCTTGGATGGAAAGAAACATTTATTAGCTGAGACGTGCCCTTAGGGGCTCAGTTCTCCTGACCTGTCTCAGGTGGTTTCTATTGGACCTTCACCCAAAGTTCCCATTCTTTGTGTAGCTCTGTTTTTCAGTTGAAGTACTCCGGGTGGCTCTCTTGTAGAATTCCGCGACAGGCAGTTCTGGGGACTGGGGTGCTTCCTTTTGGCCACAGGAATGGGGAGCACAGAGGACCGGCTCCCCGGAAACCGTGGCTGTTAGGGCACGGGCGCTGGGGAGGTGAGCGTATATGTACAGAGATCAGACTTGGGAGGTGGTTGTTGGGGGTTTTACAATAAAAGGTAATTATTTAGTGCTGCTGCCCTTTTGTCTCCTGCCCCTGGCTTTTGTGTTATTTTAAGTGACAGGTGCTGGCAGCTTGGAATTGATGGAGCTCTTTCTGCCTCCACTTGGCTGATAAAACAGGAACGCATTATTTGGGATTAAGGCATCACAATGATGTGGCTTAAAAAGTGTTTTGAGTAGAGTTGAGTTCACTTGAAACAGGTTTTTCTGAAAAGATGAATTTCCTTTAAGGATGGTTAAGTTTTTCTGTTTATTCTGGTAAAACATAGCATGGGCTGGGGGGATGCTACAGAATAATATTTTCATCTCCGTTGAATTATCTGGACCCTCTTTTCTTCTGTTTTTAAAATTCTGTTTTTAAAATATGCCTGTCCTTGCCCTCACCTCCAAAAAATCCCCAGTGGGAAATTAATAAAGTAAAAAATAAAACCCCTTTCATCCACCCTTACTTTTCACTGGTTGGATTCCTGCTTCTTCAGTAAGACTTTCTAGCCACTTGGGTGTTTCCTTACAATTACCCTTCGTTGAGCGTGTCATCGAATTCATGTGGACCTGCATTGCTTTTAAAAGTGCATATCCAAAGCCTTTCAGTAACATCCTAAAGAGGTGACAGGATTTTACTTTCAAGCAAGTTGAACTTCTCTGCCTCAATCAAACTTGTTCCCTAGATATTTTAACTATAACCCTCTGAGATGTAGTGACCTGCAGGGAGTTAGCAGGAATGGCTGGCATATACCCCACAACTGGACCTGTCTGCCATCTGCAGAGCTCTCTGTAGTCTAGTGATTGACTTGGGATCGATTCTAAAAACTGTAATAGAAAAGTCTTTATTAATGCCTTTGAAATACCACTTTGAGAGGCCGTACATATACAGGAAGGCCCTTTGGGGGAATAGCCAGATTTGCTTTTGGGGTTGTGACTCAGCCCCTCTGGTTTATGCATCTTGGGGTGCATTGGTTTACAGTTAAAAACAGAAATCTCCTTAAAATGGGTGCCCTCTCTGCAAATAAGAACTGTATTTTAATTAGTAAATTTCCCATTTCCTTAATGTATTTTTGTTGTTGTTGCTCTCTTTTCATTTATCCTCCCTGCCCCCCTTTTTTTTTTAAACAGCAAGCCAGGGCTGAGCAAGAGGAAGAATTCATCAGTAACACTTTATTCAAGAAAATCCAGGCTTTGCAGAAGGAGAAAGAAACCCTTGCTGTAAATTATGAGAAGGAAGAAGAGTTCCTCACTAATGAGCTCTCCAGAAAATTGATGCAGGTAAATTTATCTTTTCTCCCTTTACATCTTTCCCTGCCTGTTTTCCTCTCTAGGAAGAAATGACTTTGATGGAGCACTTGGCTTGAAACGTTTGCTGATGAGGTTGTAGCTAAAGTTCTTTGGAGATTAAAAATACCAGGTAAAGATGGCAGCGATGTAATACTCAAGACTCTGGCTCTGTGACCCATCTGCTTAGGTAAGGGACGATATTTTATATTTTGAGCACCTCTCAAAGTTGCTGATGAGCCTGAAGCCTTAGCACAGGAGTAATTGCTATCTATATGTGGTGTTTTGGAAATACGAGGATTAATACTAATGTATAAGGAGGACTTCTTTCTCCTTATACATTGAATCTATAATGAATACATAAACATTTTTGCAACAGGAATGGGTCTTTTGCACCAGAATATGAGTATATAAAGTGAAATGTCAATTTAGGGGGAAAATATAAGATATCTGTGGTATGTTGTTAAAATTACGTGCAATCAGGTGTGTTCAGATGGGTGAGTAGTATGTTCCTGAACAGATATTAGACAGCTATTATAACTTAACATTAATCACTAATAGTTTATAGAAGACACAACACAAAACATGTAGGAAGGTTTGATTTCCACCCCCCCAATTCAGAAGGTCCTTTTTTCCCCCCTCAAAGCTTACTAGTAAATTTACACAAAGTAAAATTTGTTTTAGGACAAATTATTTTGTGGTTCACTTAATATGAACTTAAGAATAAGTGGAATATTAAGTTTTCATTATATACCACAGCTTGCCCAAGATCATGGGCAGGTGTAGAATTATGCCAGGAGGACAAGTAATTCCACTTTTTCAGGTGACTAAGAGAGGTAGATGCATTTCCTCGTATCTTCTGTTCAGGGACATCGCTAACCACTCCATTCGTTGATATGGTTGAAGAACACATTTTAGGGAGGTTATAATAAAAGGATACTTGAGGCTTTTAAAATAATGTCCTAAATCCTTTTCTAAGCTTCCAATGTAGACATTCCTGTAAGAGAAGGCTGGAAGCTCTAGTCTTAGGACCATACAGTGGTCCAGACAACAGAATCTTTATTTCATTCTCATTTTTCTTCCTATTTGCTGAATAAAGATACTGTTACTCTCTTGCACAAAATTTGATTTAGCTGGCGGCTGTTGAAATGTGAAGAAGAGAGGTAGCCAGGAATTATTGTCCAGCAGAGATTTATGACAGAATTTCTGTGTGGAAACTCTATGGACTCATGTGCCTTTTGATTTAGAGGAAGAGAAGGGGAGGAGGTTAGTCTCACCTTTGGCGCTCTCTCATGGGGGCAACATCAGACCACTTAAACTTCGCATGTTACTTCTAGAACTGTAGGGATGCAGTTATGGTCTGTTCTTCTGAGTTTACTGTGTAACCACGCGCCCTAATTTTTAACCCTACAAGAAATATATTTTGTTTTCAACTTGAATGGTTGTTAGTATTTATAGTCTTGTATCAAATTATTTATCAGGCTGCCCAAAGCTAGCAAGGTCATCATGCTCTACTCCTCTTCTTTGTGAGTGGTTCTGTGATGTGTAGTTTGTTATCATAAACTACCTTTTCCCCAAAGACATTGATGTCTCTTAAAATAAGACACTAAGTAAGAGTGAGAACAAAAGAGCCATGCACAGCAGGAAAGGGAATTAGATATAATAATACATTTGGCATAAGAAGGTTTGAACTTAAAGTTTAAGTCCTGAACATCCTATAAATAAAGCTATACCCTGCAGAAATATAGTGATTTTTTTTTCGTAATTCTTATATCTAAAAAAAAAAAAGTTTTACTTGGTCAGGAGAAAAAAATTTTTCATATATTAAAAACTGAGGGGCATAATGGATCTTTTCTCAAGAGATTGAAGAAGGTATGACCTGAACAGGGCAATAAATTGTTTTTGCTGGGAGTAGTATAACATGTACCAATAGTTTCCATGTGGCCAAATCTTAGGTTGGCCTTTTGTCAAAATAAAGGATTTCCTATGAAGGTGTGATTCTGTTGTTGGGGGAGCTCTTGGTGAGACTGGCTTATTTGGGGTCTGACTTGTAGGATCTGGACAAATGAATGATCAGCATGTCTCTGAGACAGCCTCCCAAGAATCCCAGTGTGGTTCTTGGGCGATCTGTATTAATACATACACACACACACACATGCATACATTGTAGCAAGATAAACACAACACAAAATTTACCATTTCAGCCATTTGTGCAGCCATCACCACTGTTCATCCCCAGAACTTCTTGAAAACCAGACTCCATACCCATTGAACAGTGACTCATCACTTCCCTCCTGGTTATTGGGCTCTTGAAAGGAGACGGGTGTCGGGGAGTTTGAGGTTGAGGTCTCTGGCACATTCTAGCGCTATGTCTGTTCTGTGGAGTGATAGGTCATCTCTCACTTTAGACATCAGGTGTCACAGTATACCATTTTGTGGTGAATATCCCTGAAGGCCTCCTCTGGTTTTGGCTGGTTGGATAGAGCTGGGACAGTGCAAGGGAAAAAGGCCGCCCCCCTGTGGCGCCCATCCCACTGTGGTGCCCTCCCGCTAGGCTTGCCTCAGGGACTTTAGCCAGTCCTTTGTGGAAGGCTCACATTTTCTGCCACCCAGTGTAGAAGAATGGATCTCCATCTGGAGGCTTTTAGAGTAATTGGTACCAGTAGACTTTTCTAATTGTGTAATTACTTTAATATGGCTCTCTAGGATGGTGCTTCTAGAGAGACCTTTTTTTGAAAAGCTTGCAAGAGACACCTCATGCAGGTGTCCCTGGTTGACAAATGAGGCCATGGACTTGTTCACCAGGAAAGTGTTTGCTTAGCATTTTTCACCCAAAGGCCACTGAGAGGCTGTTGGTAGAACAGTTTTGGTTTTGTCACCACACTTTGACTGTTGTCTCTGAGAGTGATTGGACAGAGCTTCTGTGTGCATTTCAAAGGAATTATTTGGGTCTGAGGACAAATTGAGATTATTGCTGTGGAGGAAGCACTTCCTTTCCCATTTGCCATGATGGAACTGGTATCTAAAGCCTTTAAAAATGGAAATTTGTTTAAGCATGGATGAGAGGAAATCCTTCTGTCCTAGATCATCAAGTTTGGGAGATAGCTCAAATATTTTCAAATATGTTAAAATCACTGAAACAAGCACACTAAAAGCATGTTTTTTTCTCTTGTTTTTGTATATATCCACTGGGTAGCCAGAAAATTATACTTTCATTTTATGAAAACTTGTCTGAAAAATCTGTATCCTTTTGAGCCATGGGATTATCTGATTGAGAACTGTCCTAAAAAGAACCTTCTAGTACTTTTGTAAGCCCAGCACAAGCCTACATCAGAACTAAATTCAGCTCTGGAATGCCTCAAAGACAAGTTGTATTTAACCATAATTTATAATTAAAATTTATGAAAAATGTTTTGTAAGCAACCTCTTCATCAGTTTTTGATATATAACACGTATGTTAGGAAATATGTCTAAAAGACTATTTTCCAAAATGTTAGTTTTAGTTATACTGGGGTGCCGAGCTTATGGGTTATGTTAACTTTCTTATATCCCTTTTCTTCTCCTTTTGTAAAAGCAACATGCATTACTTTTGTAATTAGAAAATGTCTTATTTCCTAAAAAGGAAATTTAAAAATTCTTAGGCCTTTTTTGTCCTTACCTTTTGGAACCTTCTGTGTCACTGGCTTTGAGAGCAGAGTTCTGTCATAGTTGTGTCTATTTGTCACCGAGCTCAGTGCACTGAACCCACTGCACACTTGGGTGCATTTGCAGGTGCTAGAAGATTCTGGAATGCTGCGATCATTAAGAACTAGTGTTCTCAGAATGCTCTAATGAATAGCTTAACTGTCTTGTCAGTCTTGATATGATTTATTCCACTGGTCCTCAGCCTTCAAACTTTTTTTTTTTTTTTTTTAAATAAATGCCTAACTCCCCCGTGAACTACCAATGACCACTGCCACCTGGAAGGCCTGACATCGCTGAGACTGGTCGTGGTCTTAGCAGTTGTGGATTTTTTTTCACTTGGCTTTTATGTAAGCCTGATGCGTCAAGTTTACTTCCTGCTCCCTGGGAAGACCTGTTCTCGTCTGCAGTCTTCTCTCAGCCAGCACTGCTGCTGAGAGTCAATGAATGCTTTTTCTGTTTTTAAAACCCTGGAACAGGACTGAGATAAGAAGGGTACTGTATCTCTGAATCTTTTCAGTCTAATCCAACTTTTAAATTTTAGACCTTAAAATAACAAATAGGTTAATAGTTCTGTACTTGTGATTCACATTTGAAATTGGATCTGGTCCTCGGAAAATAACGCCACTATAGCTCTAACAGAAATTATTGTGCCCTTATGGGAAGGCATATTCCGAATGTTGATGATTCAGAGTATTGAGAGTAAAAGTCTTCCGGTTGTTCAGTGGCATGGCTTTCTCGTTACTGACTTGGTCCCTGAGGTCAGAATGCCTTCCGGAATGCACATAGTTGATGTTTCCTTGCATCCGTGGAAAGGTGACGGACAGAGAGCGGGGCGGGGGGGGGTGGTGGTGGAGGTGCAGATGCCGCTGTGGAAGCTGGCGCTACCAGAGGACATCCCGCCGTGCGGTGCTGCAGGACGGCGTGCAGCAGTGTTACTCTTCCACCTCGGTTTGCACAGACCGGAAACCTAGAGGTGAAATTGGAGTGAATCCCTGAATCTGCCTGTTCATGTGGACAGAGGCGTACTACTTCATTCGCCCTTTTCTTCTCCTCCCCTCAGTTCTGGAGAAGTAGTTTCTCCTTCCAGCCCCATGGCTTTCTGGAGTGGATGCTTCTGCAACCCCAGAAGGGCTGTGTGTCTGCCGGGCCCTCAGGCACAGGGGTGAGCACAGAGTGTCAGTGTATGCACCAGCGTCTGGGGCTTCCTTTGACCTGGAGTTTGCCAGGGCGCTAGAAGGGCGGTGCTGGTAACAAAATCACCTGTTGGGGCAACAAATATGGATGAAACTCTCTAGTTAATTTTAAAGATA